AGATAGATAGATAGATAGATAGATAGATAGATAGATAGATAGATAGAAGAACAGTTTTATACTAGTCATACTAGTATAAAACTATAAGTAATCTTAGTTTCTCATGATTTAGCCAAAAACTATCCATTTTGGAATGGTAATCACAACTTAAACATATTTGTTAAGACACAGATAACGAATGTCTCATGTTTAGAGTCCCTACCCTCCACCAGACTGCGCACTTTTCGGTGCTTAGCAACGTTAACTCGCTGGAGTGGAGTTGTACTTCCGGCGTAGAAGAAGACGTACGCGCCTGTGGGTTAACTGCTGGTAGGCACGCCTGGGTCGTTACTGTGTGATGTTGTGGACTTTGCAGAACTGCCAGCATCTGTTTTCCATTGGTCTTTGCTAATGTTAGTCGGTCTGGGTCTGTGTCGGGTAGTGTTTCCAGCCTCAGCAAAAAAAAATGTGTAGCAAATGCTTGCTAACAGGAGCTAGCTACAGAAAATGAATGAGGTAACGGTAGCTACAGTTTAGGAAGCAGGGGCTGATGTATAGCAGAAAAACAGCAAGAATATCTAGTCCTACTGGTTTAGATGCCAAAGGGTCAAGCCGAAGAAAATTCCAGATGTGATATTAATAAAATATTTAGCATCTATGCTCCTGTGTTACTCATGCTAAGCACAATCCTACGAAACATGTCTCTGCTCCCTTTTCTGCTCTTAGGTTGGTCTGAGAGGGTCAGTGAACACGTCCAACACGAGTTTACCCTCATTTGCTATTTCCTGGTTTCCACGTGGTTTTAATTATATACCCAGGATATGTGTTACTCACATACACTGCTAGTATTAATTTGATCATACTTTAAGACTGAATCACCGTGTATTCATTTTAAACATGACATAATTGGTACGGTGGGAGAAAGACATTTTTTGACCTAATAACTATGAATGTTGAAACTGGAGGAAAAAAAGACTCTTGATGGGGAAAAGGTGCCACAAGAAATGAGGAACAAAATAGACTTTCCAAAACATAACAACAAACAACAAAAAAAGTTGGACCATTTGTTATTACCTGGTATTTACTAAAGGCTTTTTATTCTTTATAGATTTGTTTTCAGGGTTATTTTTTTCCTGTTCTGTTTTGCAGAACAAAACTCTCAAAAAAGAAGATTTCGGTTGCCTTGATATTGTTCTTATTAGGTCATTTGTTTAAAAAGCTTCTGTCCTAACCTTTAATAGGAACTCCTTGCCATCCAAAATGCTTTTCCACATTGCTCTTCTCTTCATTTTTTTGTAGTTGTGTAAAAAGTCTGACAAGCTGTGTCTTTTGACCTTTGCATAATTTGTTTAGTCATTTTTTGTTTTGCTCCGAATACAGGGCCCGGTAAACGCGAAAAACAAATCTGTCAACATTGAAAGGCCGAGCATGAGTGCCCTGGACGAAGCCCAGCCACTTCATCCCTGTTGCCGTGACAAAACAACAGTCTCTGGTAATTCGTCAGATTTCGGGGAGGTTGCCAAGCAGCCTCTCCAAGGCCTGAAATTGGCATCGCACGCGGCGCTGGAGAGAGCGCAGCGGAGTGGCAGGTTGAAGTGCTCGAAATGTGGAGGATCAAGGATGTTCTTCTGCTACACATGTTGCTCATTAGTGGGAGTCAGCATTCAAGAAGTTCCCTTAATAAAGGTCAGTAAGGGGTTAGGACTCACTTGTAATGTTCTCTAATTTATCCTAAATGACATGTCATCGTATCCTTTATGTAATCAACGATAACATGCCTTGCAGATGTTTTATGCAATATTTGTATTTTATGTTTTTCTCAGCTCCCTGTGAAGATAGATATCATCAAGCATCCCAATGAAACTGATGGCAAGAGTACTGCCATCCATGCCAAGATACTCGCACCCGGGGACGTGACCATATACACCTACCCGTGCATCCCCGAGTTTGAAAAGGACACGGTTAGATGCTTTTTTCAAAATAACTGTCAGTGTGAAGCGTTGGCTTTTGTTGCTTAGATTAAGAATTCTATTTCTGATTCATTCATCTGCCTGTTACAGTCCTTAAAGCTGGAAAATGTCATGTCTAGTGGAAACTAACAAACCAAACTCACACATCTCTGTGCTTTTTGCCAGTTTATAACTTAGATCTAAATGTCTTTACTTTACTAATGCTGCAAACACTGATCAGACAGAACATTAAACCCACTTAGAGGTGACTGGGTCCATAATGCCACTTTAAAACCTTCAGTCTTGGATATTGAAATAAAGCACCCATTCTCCTTAAAGGGGCAGAACACCCAAAACCGAGATAAACTCTTATCTAATCCATAATCCAAATTCAAGAGTCACGTATCTGCTCAACCCCTCCACTTCTGACCTGGAAATCAACCTTAGTAATATGTTTCTAAAGACGCATCAATTCCTGTAATGGACCTGGAAAAGAGAGGAGGCTTTCCTCAACCCCCGCAGCATCTCAGTTTGAGAAATGCCTTTTTCTTTGAGTCCTCATTTCGCGTGTTTATTCTGGACTCCTCCACTCATGTCTCCGGAGGGACTCAGAGTTCCAACTCAGTCTTTCTGGAAAAGTATTTATTTTTATACAAGCAGGGAAATTTGTTTCTGAACTATTTTCCTCACTCTGTTTTCTAAATGATGTATAAACAGAAAATCTTTTTCTGCTTTCAGGCTTCAGCTTCCACTTAAAGTAACGGCATTATTGGTAGAACTGGATACTTTAAATTGGAGTTAGGTTGTTGCTTCTCATGCTCAAAAACTTATTTAGTGTTGTGGTTTAGGTGATTATTTATCACCTGGAACCTTAAACTAGTTAAATCTCAGATATAGAAAATGTCCCTTTGAAATAAACAGATACATCTGAAAGTCTTTCTGTGAATAGGTGTCAAAAACAATACAATCATCACACTTGGATGATTTTTTCTTTTATTTAGTAAAAGAAAAATATAAATCAACGTTAAATAGATGTGTTCCAAAGTTAGGTTTCCTGCCATTTGAATCAACACATTTCTTTTTCTGTTTTGTTTTACTAAAGGGGAAAGAATGGAGTTATGATTTTTTTTTAAAGGAGAAAAAATCGCAGTACTGCTCATTATCTAGAGAAAAAATAATGGAGTCATCTTGTGATTTGCTTTCTAAAATTGATATGTATACTAGTCTATTTATGCAAGTGGGGGCTCTCTAATGAGCTGCCCCCAACAAGAAGGATGACAGTGGAAATTATGTGTTGGGAATAATAAAGCTCTTTCATGACGGTAATTTAATCTAAAGTTGGGCAAAGTATGGTCCGCGTTCCCAGTCAGTTCAGTCAGTTTATGGTGGAAGTTAGAAGAAATATTCGTGTTACGGCTCCATCCTGCAGAGCCATCCATCCTGATCTGTCGGCAGTTAAACCAGAAAGCAGCGACCAGAAAGATGAGGAATGTTGTTTATGAGTTCATTTATCATAATAGCCGGAGGAGAGTCCCAACTTTTCCTTTTCATATTTAGTTCATGATTCTGAACTTGTGTTGCTCTTATTTCATGTGAAAAATGTCGACCAACTCAGCTGCTACTAAAATGTTTTCAGTCATTTCTGCTGAGTGATCATCTTCTGAATGCGGTGGCACCAAAAAAAAAAGGACGGGGGGGGATCTGAGCCAAGCAGTTGAGAAAAATAATAGATTTTATATGAACTAGGAGACAAAAGACTCTGGTTGAGTGTCCACAGGGGGCCACTTTACAACATCAAATACTCAAAAGATTCTGCTCTGTCCAGTGTGGGTCAGATTTAGCTGATTTCTGCAGCTCGTTTACCTTGTGAGGTGTTTTTTTTTCTCTAAATACAAACAGCTGCATTTTGACTCGTGTCATGAGTTACAATTTATACATCCACTTAGCATTTGGGTTTTATTCTGTCTTATGTTATCCTATTTGTTTAATATAGCTAATTTGAAACTTTAACTCACTATGTGTCTGTTTTCGATAGTTTCCTGCCTGTATTTCAGTTTGAACCATCTCATGTTTTCAATTTTTCAGCCTCATATGACTCCTGTCGAACTGTTTCTTTCACGGCTCCTCAGATTTAGTCCGGTATAAATCATGGCGGGAGAGAAACAACACATGTTAAAGATCCTTCTCCTTAACTCTGGACTCGGTGTGTGTGTGTGTGTGTGTGTGTGTGTGTGTGTGAGCGACGGTCCTCCACTCAGCCCGTCTGCTCTGTCCAGGTGGTGCTGGTGTTCCCGGGCCCGGGGGCCGTCTCAGTTCAGGACATGTTGCGGTGTTTACGTGACAGGGGGGGCAGCGGGTCGCACGCCTCCCCCGCCGAACCCAAAGCCAAGAGGCGGAAAAGCCAGCCCGTCCACGGCGCCACACACGGCGCCGAAGACCCGGAGTCAGGAACTCCGGATGAGGCGCCCAGCTCCGAGTCACGGCACCATCCCCTAGAGAGGGTGGTCTTCATCGACAGCACCTGGAACCAGACAAACAAGATCAGCACGGACGAGAGGCTGCAAGGCAAGTGCTCCACCTCCGCCCATAAGTCGAGGCACATGCTTTTTCTGTGATCTCACTTTCTGCCCAATCCGCGTGTTCCCCGCCAGGTTTGCTCCAAGTGGAGCTCAAGACGAGGAAAACCTGCTTCTGGCGCCGTCAGAAGGGAAAACCAGACACCTACCTGGCCACCATCGAGGCAATTTATTATTTTTTCAAGGACTTCCAGCAGCTTTGCCTTTCTCAGGAGTACGACGGAGAATACGACAACCTGCTCTTCTTCTACTCCTTCCTGCACTCGGTCGTCAACAAAGCAAAGATGTCTGCAGGAAAATGCTGAAGAAGAAAAAAAAGGGAAGCCAGACTCCCGAGACTGAGCTATGGCGAAGGCACAGATCCATGTGCAAGCCCTCATGTGAGGGTGGCCCCGTTTAATGACCAACTGCTTTTTATTTTCGAGAGGCCTCAGTTTGTATGAGGAAAAGCAATAAAAAAAGTGTTCAAATCCAGTCTGAGTTGTTTGATACACTTAAATGCAATCAGCAAATACTTGGAGAAGAAAATATGCCTTCTCCAGTTTTATACAAAGGGGTAAAGGATAATGGCTTATCTAAGATGTTCAGAAAGAAATTGTTATAAACAGAAAATGGCACTATCCTGGTCTTTATTTTCCAATGCTTTAAGTTATTTTAAAAAACAAACACATTTAAAGCTCAGAGAAATTATATCTTTTAAATCGGCAGAATTTTCTCTTTGAATATTAAAACTAAGGCAGCACGTCACCATGTTTTTATCGAACACATAAAAACTGCTGAGACGATCAGGTTTGACATGAAAAAGGAAAAGGCAACAAAAGCTTTAATATCCAGGCATTGAAATGGGTTTGGGTTATGGGGAGTGACTCGGGTTCAAGCCACCTGCAGAGAGCCCCTTCCAGTATGATTTTCCTTGATCCGAACGATGGGAAATCCAGTCAGCCCAAATACTATTTAAACACAGAAAGGTAAAGAAGAAAATGCTCCAAATTATCCAGTTCTATCAACTTAATTGAATGAGCACAGCTTTTAAATCAATACAACTTAGAAATAAAGATAATCTCTTCATATCAATAACTGACAAAAAGTTCCTTGTGACAATGAAAGATCTTTAAGGAGCAGATGAGGGTTTTATGATACCTGCATTAAAATTACTTCAATAATTCCACCGAGTAACGCTGGATGTGCAGATTCTGGCTGCTTCTCTCCTTAAAGAGCAGCAAAATGGTGGAAGTTCAACACATTTCATTAATGAGTGACTTGGAGTTGGATCGAATTCAATAGCGACGTACAAAGAAATAAGCTTAAACAAATTAAAATCCTTTATTTACAAACCAATGAACGTTTGCTCTTGAGTTATGAATATCCCCAATTTTAATAAGAAAAAAAAAACATTTGATTGTTGGGCTTCTTGAGCACATTTTGTTATGGATCCATTTCATCTTTTCTCACAAAATAAAGATCTTTATAGTTAAGGCAGCGGATCCAGGGGCTGGATAAGCAACTTTTCTCTTTTTTTTTCTTTTTTTTTTTTACAGAAAAGTAGAAAGCAGCCACTAGTAGAAGACTTCTCTGATCTTGGCCTGAAGGTTGTCGCAGGTCTTCTTGGCGTCTCCCAGCAGCATGGATGTGTTGGGTTTGTAGAAGATGGGGTTATCCACGGCGGCGTAGCCTACTCCCAAGGTACGCTTCATCACGATCACCTGTGGTCAGACAACCAACAGAAGCAAACATCAGCCTGCTGGCAGAAACTAAAACATGGTGGACACGTCCGAGGGTTACGTATAGAACAACGCTGGGGGGGAACCTGTTTGGACTTCCAGACTTCCAGCACAGGCATGCCGGCTATGATGGAGTTGGGATCTTCCTGTGCCGCGGAGTTCACCGTGTCGTTGGCGCCGATGACCAGCGTCAAGTCCGTCTCTGCCGGTCACAAACATTTACAGATTCAAGACAAAGGCCGGATAAACAAGCGAAGGCAGGCACCACACCCATCTCAACCTCCGTCATAAACAGAAACATCTGTCCCGGACAACACGCCGGTTGCTAAGAAAAACAGCCGCTGTCCGAGAAACGCGGCACGTCTAAATATCCGCACCGGCTCTCGCACTTCTGCTCCAAGTGTGGATGACATGCGGGACGTGTTTAATACACAAAAATGGATCCGGTAATTCTACCCGACACAATGCGCTGCCAAGGCGATAACTATTGAATTGAAAAATAACACTTTTCCCTCCGGAATTTATTTGAAGAGGAGATTGCCTGGGAAGTCGTCGTTCAGCTCGTCCATCTCCAGGACGATGTCGTAGGGGACGCCGGCCTCAGCCAGGAGGACGTTCAGCTGACCGGGCATACGGCCGGCCACGGGGTGGATGCCGAACCTGTGGGGGGAAAGGGTCAAAAACCATCAGGCCCCAAAGCTCCCAACAGAAGCGGAGACACGGCGAAGGGGGGGGGACACACCTGACCGTCTTGCCTTGCTCCCTCAGCATCTTGACCATGTCCGCGATGGGGTACTGGGCTTTGGCGGCACACAGACCCCAACCTGAAACACACAGGGACCACTCTCTTTTGAGAGTTTTCCAGCAATATTTCATCCTCTGGATTCATGTTTTTGTCAACCAACCAACCGAGTTATTGTCTATTGTTAGATAGAGGCAACGCGATACAACTGAAGAAAAAAAAACATTATCCTCTCTTCTGCCCTCATCAACCGCAAGTCCCCTTCCTTGTTAAAATAACTGCAGATCAGTGTTCGGAGATGCATTTTTTAAGGGGAACTCAAGCACGTATTCGGGGCATTTGGGACCCCTGCGTGCAAAGAACCGTTTTGTTTGGCAGCGTGACCCCTTGTCAAACCCCGGTGGTCAGGAGCCTCGCGGAGTTCAGCCTCGGCCCTCGTCGGATTTTGCATAGGCAGTCACTCAGACCCCGTATCTCCTAATTCCCCTGACAACCAGAGCCTTCTGTTTCCTCACCGCCGCGCTTTGTTGTTGACAGCGCGTGGAGAAGCCCCGAGTCTGGACTCAATAGTTCCTAAGACTTTTTCACCGTTTCTCTAATGGAAGCAGCATGTTGGAACGCACAGCTGTCCTCGCGTTGGTCAGGGGCCACTGGAAAACTTGCAATCCTAGTTTGTAACGTATTCGGAGCGGTTCCTCTGACTCGGGCTGCTAAACAACGACTCAGTCTGGCTTTCTCTTAGCAATTAATCAAGATACGGTCATTATCTTAACTATAATTTTTCACGGCGTGCCGACAGATGACTGTGCGATGTTTTGTGTGCATCACCCCCCCCCCCCCCCCCCTTGTGGTCCTCATGCCTCCAAAGGAATCCAGCTTTTCCATTCCTGCTACTTTGATCCGATTTCTGGTAAAGCTGTCAGGCTCAGCCTTTCGTCAGGTGAAGTTAATCTGAGAGGCAGATGTTGTTACTGAGAGTGTCTGAACGAGCACAGCTGGAGTTCTGCAGTGAGGAGGATCCAGTGATGAGATAATCTGATATCACCATCCTACCCTTTATTCTTTGTTTTTGTCTCATAGGGAGCACCTTCTTCTTTTTGCTATGAGGCTTTCATCTCCTAAAATCTGGCAGAATTTGCATTTATCTCACAAATACCAAACCCAGCTCTTTGGTATGTTTTGAGCTTCACTGAATTGTTTTTTATAAGGAAAATGAACTCTTTGCCTGGGTCTGTGACTCAAAATAGTGCTCAATTTTTTATCCTATGTATAGATTGTATTGCAGCTCTAAGAAGTTACAGGATTCTCAGTTAGCTTCGGTTATCTTTATCCACAGATCTATTCTCAGCAAAAGAAATAAACACACAGCACGTCCTCTTCTTCTACCAGAGGAGAAGCTCCTGTATTTGCCCTACAGAAGATGCCACTGTCCTGCCAAACGTGAAATATTCAAAACCTATATTATAAAAACTTGTATTTGAGAATGGTACTGTGGGTGGAGCTTCTAACACGCCAGAGCTTGTGATGTTTTATCTTTAGATACATAACATGAATCCCCTGAAGTTAAAGATAGAAATAGAAACTCAAATTTGACTGATAATCTTTCTCTTCAGGTTGTCTTTGATTCTGTGTAACAGCGGAAAACCAGAAATCTGAAAGTAAGAAAGCTAGCTCTAGATTTCCAGACCCCTGGAGTCTGCTTTCAATCTCCATTTGGGGCTTCAGCCACCAACTTGACACACCCAAATCTGTACTTTGAAGTGCAATCAAGTTGCATGATAGGACCTCATCCCTTTTAACAGGACCTGGTATGCATAAAGATGAGTTCAGACCCATCGCAAGTTCCTACATGAATCAGGCAGTGTTAGGATTATACATTCATTTCTATGTTAAGTTAGTCTTATTTTCTTCTTAGTGATAATCAACATGGAGCCAATTTTATGTGTGGTCCTGTTACGAAGGGGCAGGTTTGTGAAAATGGAGGCTGTAAAATTTATTTCTGCTTTTGACAACCAAACAACTATGTTATTGTCTATTGTTAAATAGAGGCAAAGTGATGTAACTGAAGAAAAAAATAACCTTATCCCCTCTTACACTGATGTCGCAGTGGTGTTTTTCTTCACAATGGAATGCAGTGTGAAATCCATATGGGTTTTAAAAACAGTTAACACCACAAACTGTGGACAAACATTAATTGAAGTACTGAGCAGAGCCCGTCCATGTTGGCCGTGCTTCTCGTGTCGTGCGTACCTGGTGTGATGATGATGCTGTTGGCCTCTTTGATTATGTCGATGGTCTGGTCCACGTTGACCTCGGTGTGGGTGCCAACTATCTCCATGGGCTTCCCGCCGGCCGTGGAGGTCGTGCCGTAGCCACCCAGGATCACGTTGGGCAGCGAGCGGTTCATAGCCTTGGAGAAGGAGAGGACGGCATCTCGAACTGCTCTTAGAGGTTCTCAGTCTTTGTTCAAACTATGTGCATCTACTCACCACACACATGATGTATGAGAGGATGGCACCAGAGGAGCCGATCAGGGCTCCGACAATGGTCATGAGATTGTTGTCCAGCAGGAAGCCTTCAGCACAAAGAGCCCATCCCGAGTAGCTGTTCAGCACGGTGATGACCACGGGCATGTCGGCCCCCCCGATGGCAGCCGTCAGTGTTACACCCTTTTAGAGCGTGGCGAAGAAAGGGAAAACCCTTAGAGCCACAAAACTGGAAAATCCCTCCCTTCCTTTTACAATCAAATGAAAGAATATTCAGCCGATGCCACTATGGAATCACATTTTTTGGGCCATCTAGTGCAAAGAAACGCTCGATGTAAAAATATCAATAAAAATTCACCAGAAGGAATATGATTTCATCGAAGTCGGTAGTTTCCCAGCGTTCCAATCCAGCAATAAAAAGTGACATTGTCTTATTAACAAAATACTTTTGCCAACTCATCTAATCAGCAGAACTCACCATTACAGTGGAAAGCCCAGACACTCCCACCAGACACCCCATGCCGGTTCCATAGGTGGAACTGAGCATGAAGGGCACCATGCCCCCCATGGACGCCGCCATCAAACCGGCGTTTAACATGTGTCGACCAGGCAGCAGCAGGGGCGCCGAGTTTAGGAGGCCTGCGCCCGAAAGCAATTTCAAAAAGGGGCAGAAGTTATTGTCACTCATTTGTAGGGATAAAGGGCACATAATTGACAACACAAAACAAGTAAGTGCACTTTTCCCCTAATCAGGGTCGGATATCTTTGAACTTCAACATTTCTCTGTTGGGGCCTCTAATTCAATTTGAATGTTGGATACGCTGCCCCATCCACAAGCAGAGCAGGACCCCCCCCCCCCCTCCCCGCAGACCTCAGCACATTGCCCTCCACATTGCAAATTACCACAGAGCTTCTGCTGAGTTCCCCCTTGATTAGCTGCACTACAATGTCAATTATAGGCTGCAAACTCCAGTTTGGGTCTGGATTTAACAGAGGATCTTTGACTTTTCTAGATGAAAGGGGACAATCAGGGCAAGAGGACGCAAAGCTCAGAGTGTTTATATGGATATTTTTTGTCCGTTAGAAGAAATGTGGAGCAGCCTCTACATGCACAAATATTCCCCGAAACAGCCAAATAGACGTTTCGGTAGTGGGCTTTACCTTGAAGCTTCCCATAGGCCACCAGAGATCCACTGAAGGTGACCCCGCCGATGTAGGTGCCCAGGTAGGCCACGGTCTTCACCACGCCCGCGGCCGGGTGAGCGTCCAGGTGTGGGAACTCGATCATGTACTCGGCCACGCAGGTGAGGACGGCGGCCAGCCCCACCAGGCTGTGGAAGGCGGCCACCAGCTGCGGCAGGTCTGTGATCTCAATACGCTTCGCAATGGTGAGACCTGCATCCAGAAGGTCGAGATAAACACAAAGAGAGGGGCTAAAAAGGCAGGTTTAAGAGAATTATGGCCTGTTGCCCCCTTGAAAAAAATAATTTGAGTAACAAACACTAAGGAGCTAATGGTTACGAGGCACACGCCTGGTTTCTGTTATGTTCCTTGATCTTCAAAGCCGATCTAATGAGCTCTAAGGTACACACTTAATATTGTTTTCTCTAAAACGTAGTGACATCAACACAGAGTATTCCCCAGGCACCTCTGTGTGTGCACGCATGTTGATTACAAGATCATTCATCTTCCTGTTTCTTGAATTAAGGTGATTGATGCTCTGTTATGAGTTAGCAAAAGAAATCACTCCCCCATGTGACTGGAGCAGGCACATGCAAAGTTATTAAAATATAACTCCTTCCTGATGGTTGTGTAATTTTCTAAATAAGCTGTTGGACTTCAAAAAGAGCAATGCCCAAAGTTTAATGTTGTTTCTTTTTAAGGGGGAACTGAACCGCAGAGGGTTTGTTGGACACAAATCTCCATCACAGGATAGGAAAACTTACATTTATGGTTTTAGTTGTGAAAAACAACACTCTGCTGTAAAGATAAATGATGATAATTGGTGCCGGAAAGCGTAACAGTCTGTCTGTCAGCCGTTTTTAGGTTTTCAGGACACCTACCCAGGGCTCCCCCAGAGGCCATGGCCAGAGACATCTGAGACAGGAGCTCTGGGGAGGGTTTGAGGACCCCGATGGTGGCGGCGATGCCCCCCGTGACTCCCATCATGCCCAGGGCGTTCCCCAGGCGGGAGGTGCGCTGGGCCGAGAGGCCGGCCAGGGCCCCCACGCAGCACAGGCCAGAGCCCAGGTACATCATCTGAGGGGTTTCCAACAAAAGACCCGTCAGACGTTACAGACTTCAGGAAAGTATGAATTTCTTAGATCATGTAAGAGTATATTCAGCGTATATGGATAAACAAACATCAACAACCTGAACGCACCAGGCATGAAAAAAACAGTCGACTATGTTCATCACTTTGGTTAAAGTTTAAGCAAATTGTATGGACAGCACAGTGCCAACACCATTAATGCTGTTTATTGATTGATTGAATACTTTATTGATCTCCAAGGAGAAATGTATTATGTTTTTACAGTGTAATATGTTTTTACTTATTCCATTATTTTTCTGTAAATCCTTCTAATCCTGTGTTGGAAAACATCGGGAGCACAGAGGTTTTGTAAAAAAGCGAACATAACGTTTACTGTTTTCTGAGCATGAAACAGTAGAAAAGATCACTATATACACAAGCTATCGTTCCCAGCAACACATATCAGTCTTATGGACAAACAGCCCAGTTACAATCCCGTGTCAGAGGCTTTGTGTTCGGCCAACCACCTGCTCGATGTGGTACCCCGCGGCTGCCGAGGCGCCGTATCCTCCAACGAACATGGCCGCAGGCAGTGCGTACAGGTAGTTGTACTCAGGGGGGTCAGTGGGACGTTTGAACATGTCCAGCATCCTCTGGGTGATGAGGAAACCACCTGCCAGAGCACAGAATTAAAACAAAGGAGATCTATCTGAGTTCCCTTGATTCAGCTGGTAATAAATCACCGCCTCCGCGTTATTTTTTGTGATGCGCGTCAGACCGGCGATGTTGATGGAGGAAACAAAGGCGGCGGCCAGAGCGAGACTCTCAGGGAGGGAGGAGGGCGTGAGACCTCCACCCATCAGCACCAGGCCTCCAACTGCAGTCAGACCTGTTCACGGAGAGAAAAGGAAAGAGCGTGAGGGAAGAAATGCTCGTCAAAGTTCACAAAGCGGCCGCCTTTCGTTTGCTCCCGACCTGAGATGGCGTTGGTGACGGACATGAGCGGCGAGTGGAGGGCAGGCGTCACGCCCCACACCGTGTGGTAGCCCACAATCCCGGCCAGCCCGAAGGTGGTCACCATCTGGGTGAAAGCCGCGTTGGGGGAGATGATGCCGAGAGCCAGCAAGGTAGAGACGCCTGAAAAAGAGAAAAAGAGAAAGTCCATTTGTGTCCCGCTCCCTGTGAATATAGGACACCTCATACTGAAAAATGGAGCAATGACATTTACATTAACAGTGACATATCTACGAGAATTTGATTGCAGAAATGGGTCTTAAAGTTTGGGACGATGGCAGCGGAAGGCTGCAGGAGGAAGTGGGAACATCTGGAGGAACTTGCAGCAAATTTTTAGGCTTACTGGCAAAAGCACATTATCCCGAGTGGGATTAAAAGAGCACCCTCAAGAGGTAGAATCTCCCCAAGGTGAATGTCTGCAAAGCTTAATATGCAAAAACTGGGAGAAATTCCAGAATTGTCAATTAACATCAAATATATTCCAAAACCCAACGTGTACAAAATTAGAGAAGAGACATTTGTGGCCCTCAGGCAGCTAGCATCTCTAAACAATTATCTGTCATGAGACAAAACAGAGATCTTTTTCTCCCCTGAAAAGGGTCAAAGAGAAGAGGGACCATCCTGCTTGTCATCAGCTCTCTTTTAAAACCCTGCATCTCTGATAGTATTCTGCCCATGAAGCTGGCAAGAGGAACGTTCAATATAGCATGACAATGAAGTGGTGAAAGGGTCTGGGTGCAGAACTGACCAGTCTGCAGTCCAGACTGTTCACCAAGCATGGAAGACAAATGATGGCAAAAAAGATCTCAGGAACAGTTCGACTTCCACCTCTAATTTTTTGACCATTCGCTGCTACCAAATTCAAATTGTTACCATATTATAGATTCAAATTGATTGTAATTGGTATGCTAAAACCTGTTTTCTAAACATTAGCTGTTTTTCAATCCATCGTCCGCATGAAGATAATTAGTTTATTTTTGCCCTTTGCACATTAGCTCAAATGTTTACTGCTCTATAATCCGTACAATCTCATTTGCAATAACTTCTGGACATTGTAATGGGTTCAAAAAGGATCAAATGACAGAGTTGGTTTAACGCACCTTTGATTCAAAATGCAAAGGAGTCTTTTGCAAAGAACTGGGAAAATCCCAGTCCAAATAACACCGGATGTAATGATGGTCAACATTTCTTTGTCCTGATGTTTGTGTAATGGCGTCTGACCTGCAGTGTAGGCACCGGCAGAGGTCATGGTGCGGTTGAAGGGGGAAACCGCTGCAGCTTTTTCAGCCTGCAGCTCTGCAACTGTTTTCTGTTTCACCGGGGCTGGGGGGACGGTTTTCGGGAGGGGAGACGGGAACATGTTCTTGCCCTCCTACTCGGGCCAGAAAACACACAAAGCAACCAGTTTGAGAAAACAAAGAATGGATACAAAGTTTTTGCGTGAGAAACAGACATCAAGACTTTGGAGCTCTGCATAGTGGGAGATCTCAAATGGATGGGGGGGAGGGGGGGGGGGGCACTCAAAACACAAATGCAGGGTCTACACAAGAGATTATACTGAACAAACAGCAATCATGAGCTGGTTAACAGTGGTTTTGGAAGATAAATTCTCTTCTAAGGGGTCTGAATAATGCTTAGTTTAACCAGGGGTAAACCGATACGTCGCATTGAGGTTGCTTTCACTGCCCATAAACAACGAGTCCGAGCCAAAATTCCTGGAAAAGTATATTTTGAAACTTTCATAACAGTGTTGCTGGGTTCCAGTGTGAGCCATTCCCTGCCCAGACTGGGTTTGTAGTTCTCATTTGGCACGGTTTCTCAGCCTGACGGGATCTGATGGTTCACACTGAGAGGGAGGGCAGGAAGCCAGACGTTTACGGCTAATTAAAACCAACCTGCATGACAAGGGTTCCACGGATGACATGGTCAATTGTCCCGTAGTCAAATTCCTCCACGGGCTCATAGTGGAAGTTCTCTTTGTCGGGGCTGATGGCCTTCAGCAGCTTCAGGACGTTGTTTGAGTACAGAGTGCTGGCCTGGGTGGCCATGCGGCTGGGGAGGTCCGTGTAGCCGATGTGAGTTACTCCCTTGTTAATAACAAAAAGAAAAAAAAAGAACATCTGTCAATTTTCCACAGCGGCGAACGAATCAGACACACTTTATAATCATTTTGGGGTTTCTTCTGTTCTTCAAAGCAGGGACGAACCTCACCTTGTGAACGTGCAGCTCCCCAGGCTTGGTGGTCTCAATGTTGCCCCCGGCCTCCGCAGCCAGGTCCACCACCACAGAGCCGTCCTTCATGGACTCCACAAACTCCTTCTTAATCAAAATGGGGGCCGTCTTCCCTGAGGGGGAACAAGTCCACAGAGGAACAAATGAGATCCATTGAACTCATCCGAATTCAACCACAAATTGGACAAAAGGAAATCCTTAACATTCACGCTGGATTTCATTTAACTGCATACGGTACAGGGTTTTGATTTAATTCAATTTGTCAGACATCCATGTCAGGGCTGTGATGTATTCAAAAAATGGGATGTGGACCATTAGAATTAAAAGTGAGGTTAAAGAACGCAATTTCAAACATCTGAGATCAGCATGTGTCTGAGTAATAAAATCATGTGACCGATTTCTGTGAGAAGCCTTTCATCTTTTGACTTCTCTGGGCTTAAAGGAACCGAACGTATTGTGTGCAGACCAGTTGGTAGTCAGACCAAAGATCAAACTGTTATCAAAACCAAGCCCAAAAGCTCTGTGCTGGTATGGGATTGTGTCCCTGCTGTTATGGCAGAAAACAGGAAACTTCATAGAAATGTTCAAGCAAACATGTTCTGCCTTGAAGACCTCATTTTAAGCTGCATTTACATCCTTTACAGCCTGACCAATCAAAACCACACCGTCACAGTAATGCCTGGTGAAGAAGAGTTTGCAGGTGTTGGACTGGTCTATTTCCTGCAATGCTGTTGTGTCCCCAAAAAAGAAAGGGGAGAGAATCTAATAAAGGAAAAACAAATAATCACTTTGTACTGTTGCCCAAATTAAGATATGGTTGCAGGAAAGCATGGAACCAGACTTTTACTGCCTGTTGAGAAGGATTTGTATAGTTTCAAAGTGGTAACAACTCAACTGGAATACAATGTAGGCCTGCATTGCTAAATTAGACGTAAATCAAATTTAATCATCTACTTAAAGGCAGCAGATTTTTTAAGGTTTGTGGGGGGAAATCAACTCCTTTCCTTCCAAAATAGGTGGTCACACTCAAAGCCGCATATCTAAAATCTTCAAACCACCAAAAGTGTTGCTCCAGGTGACCATTCGACAGAAGTAAGGTTTAAGGTTTTTATCCATAAGCTTTAATTTTTCTGACTGTGAAGATTCATTAACTTCCGTATGTGGTTCATGTGGAGAGCTTCACACAGACTTTCCCGACTCATCGTTTGGAAATTTATGTCTGGATGGAAGGAAAACGACAGTAACTTTTTTAGTTTTCTTCAAAGATCATTGTAAGAGAGGCGGCAGACACCTGTTTCTGATCCTGTCCGTCATTTGTCTTTCGTATAAAAACATTTTTTTTAAGGACTAAAGTTGGCCGAGTGACTGACCTGGGATCAGAGCAGTGCTGATGAGGATGTCGACCTCTTTACACTGCTTGGCGAAAAGGGCCATCTCGGCCTCGATGAACTCCTTTGACATCTCTTTGGCGTAACCTCCGACCCCCTCGCCAGACTCTTTGATGTTTACTTCCAGAGGCTCTGCCCCGAACGACTTGAACTGCTCCAGAGCCGCCGGCCTGTCAGGTGAGGAGCAGTCAGCTTATCATCAGAACCGTAAACCGTCAACACCACGTCTGCAGCCGGAGGCCAACGGTGTTTCCTCCCTTTCATCTCCTACCTGGTGTCAAATCCTCTTACTATGGCTCCCATGGACTTGGCTGCCCCTGCCGCTGCTAAACCAGCCACTCCACCTCCAATAACCAGGACCTGAGCTCAACAGAAACATCCACGTGTTCGGGGACACACTCAATCCATGTTACCGACTTGAATAGTGTAAGAAATCCCTCCAGGAAGAAGGAAAACTCTGATGTTACCTTAGCTGGAGGCACTTTTCCTGCAGCTGTGATCTGACCGGTGAAGAACCTCCCAAAGTGGTTGGCAGCCAGAACCACAGCTTTGTACCTGCAAAAGACCAAAACAAACCCAAAGCACGTTTACTGAAAACCGAGAATCCAGAAGATCCGGACGTGGAGTCGTTTGGACGTGGAGCAGCGCGTTGGTTTACCCGGCGATGTTGGCCATGGAGCTGAGAGCGTCGTAACCCTGGGCGATGGTCACTCGGGGCACCTGGTCCATGGCCAGAACGGTGCTCTGCCTCTCCGACAGCTTCTTCATCAGCTCCGGGTTCTGGGCCGGGTAGATGAAGCTCACCAGCGTGGACTTGGGCTTCAGGAGCTCCGTTTCAGTCAGAGTGGGAGCTCGGACCTAAAGGGGTACGAGTGAGTTTAACGGATCCACCTAAAGATTGGCAACATGGCAGAGAAGTCATGTGCACAACCTTGAGGACCAAGTCGGAGCCCAGAGCTCCCTGGACGTCGGTGATGCTGGCTCCCGCATCTTTGTAGTCCTGGTCGGAGAACTGGGAATCGTTCCCGGCTCCACTCTCCACCTGCACCTGGAAGCCCTGTTTGACCAGCGCCTGGACGCCGGCCGGAGACAAAGCCACGCGACGCTCGTTCTGCACGCTCTCCTTGGGGACCCCCACCACCAGGTCCTTATAGGGCACACCTGAACACACGGGGAGGCCGCTCGTAAAAAATCCAGCATGTTGGATTTTCAGGTGAGCAGTAAAACCATTTAACGACTGGTTTTGTGGGTATTAATGCAACACGAGGGAGCTCGGTGTGCAGCTGAGCCAGGGTCCGGTTACACATTTCTGTCCCCATAGATACACAGTGACCTCGCCACCATGGTGACATAAGTAACAGGTGATTGGAGCAGAGCCATCGCTCACACACAGAGGCCTGCTCCCCTACAGACGCTTTAAAATTCAAGCTTTAAAGCTCCCAGTAAGTCACGAAACCCTCCCCGACGCCCTGCCCCGGCGTGCCCTGCAAACCGGCAGCGTGAACAAAGCCTCGGTCAGCAGCCGCGGCCGGACGGAGGCTGAGATTTGGAGGTGTCACCTTTAACTGACCTCTCCCGTGCGCTCCCATGCTAGCAGCGCAGCCTTCCCCCTATTTTGGGAACATCTCAAGCAACCAAACATTTCACGATCCGTGGAGTTTTCCACTCCGCCGGGCCAAAAAAGCGGCGTCCTCGGGTGAACTCTCACGCTCCCATTCCACCACTCAGATCTCAAGAGGAAATCCGAACCCAGGAAAGGAGCACAGTAACCTGGACACAAATGCTTGGAAGCTTAGGCCCAGAGACTTTTTTTTTTTAAGTTTCCTACCTCTGGACGCCTGTTTGTCCCATAATACTTGGAAAGTCCTAAAATGCCTCCGTCCCAGAGTTTTCTGGTGCACCCTTCTGTGGGACAGAGCCAGGCAGGAGCTCGAAATGCAGCGCAGGAGGGTCGACATGGCCTTGAGACTCCCTCTGGCTCTTGATGATAAACACAAATAAACAGGGATGGATGAGACGTTGGCACTACTTCTGCATCTGCCGTCAAATAGAGAAGAGCATTTTGATCCCCTAGAGAAGGTCCTGAATCCCCCAAGTGGCGCGCTGTCTGTTGTGCGAGGCCTACAGATGGCAGAGTGACATGTCAGCTCTGCAGGACACCACGCACTCTCTCATAAGGCCCGGGGTCGGTTACATGCAACGGGCTCGGTCGCGAGATCTGGAATTATGACGGCACAGAGGGAAACGGTGCCAAGTCTGCCCTGCTTCCCCTGAAAAGCGGACAGAGGGGCTCAGTCCTCAGAGGACACAGATCCAACAGTGTGCTCCATCAAAACTGAGGACAACTGTACAAGTACTGACCGTTAATTAAAACACACAATGTCAGGAGTAAATACATGAGAGATAGGATCTTAAAGTTAATTTACTCAACAACTAATAAAATAAATAATATTATTCATAATATAATCATAATAATCACAGTCAGTCGGTGTCCTTCAATCTTGTTCTATGTTACTGCTATATACTGCAATGTTCTAAAAATGGGGTGTTATAATGAGAGACCAACACTTGCCTTTCCGATTTCTAGAAAGATCAGATAAATTATTTAGCTTGTCTGCAAGCAGCAGGGTCACCGGCCAGACATTCAACCCCAAACCCCTCAGTCTGCGCACAGAGACAGACTCATATAACTGCTGCTGAGTATAAATAGTAGGCCATGTGACTTCCCCCATGCCCACCCAAGAAGCAGATACAAATTCTTTGTTTACGCACTGGCAAATTAAAGTCCAGAGACAGATGTGTTAGAGCTGAAATACTTAAAACTTTTTTT